AAGCATTCATCCACGCATGCATTCATCCACGCATGCATTCATCCACGCATGCATGCATTCATCCACGCATGCATTCATCCACGCATGCATTCATCCACGCATGCATTCATCCACGCATGCATTCATCCACGCATGCATTCATCCACGCATGCATTCATCCACGCATGCATTCATCCACGCATGCATTCATCCACGCATGCATTCATCCACGCATGCATTCATCCACGCATGCATTCATCCACGCAAGCATTCATCCACGCAAGCATTCATCCACGCATGCATTCATCCACGCATGCATTCATCCACGCATGCATTCATCCACGCATGCATTCATCCACGCATGCATTCATCCACGCATGCATTCATCCACGCATGCATTCATCGACGCATGCATTCATCGACGCATGCATTCATCCACGCATGCATTCATCCACGCATGCATTCATCCACGCATGCATTCAACCACGCATGCATTCATCCACGCATGCATTCATCCACGCATGCATTCATCCACGCAAGCATTCATCCACGCATGCATTCATCCACGCATGCATTCATCCACGCATGCATTCATCCACGCATGCATTCATCCACGCATGCATTCATCCACGCATGCATTCATCCACGCATGCATTCATCCACGCATGCATTCATCCACGCATGCATTCAACCACGCATGCATTCATCCACGCATGCATTCATCCACGCATGCATTCAACCACGCATGCATTCATCCACGCATGCATTCATCCACGCAAGCATTCATCCACGCAAGCATTCATCCACGCATGCATTCATCCACGCATGCATTCATCCACGCATGCATTCATCCACGCATGCATTCATCCACGCATGCATTCATCCACGCATGCATTCATCCACGCATGCAATTCATCCACGCATGCATTCATCCACGCATGCATCATCACGCATGCATTCATCCACGCATGCATTCATCCACGCAATGCATTCATCCACGCATGCATATCCACGCCATTCATCCACGACACATCCACGCATGCATTCATCCACGCATGCATTCATCCACGCATGCATTCATCCACGCATGCATTCATCCACGCATGCATTCATCCACGCATGCCATATGCATTCATCCCACACACCGCATGCATTCATCCACGCATGCATTCATCCACAAAACCACGCATGCATTCATCCACGCATGCATTCATCCACGCATGCATTCATCCACGCAAGACATAGCAAATTCATCCACGCATGCATTCATCCACGCATGCATTCATCCACGCATGCATTCATCCACGCATGCATTCATCCACGCATGCATTCATCCACGCATGCATTCATCCACGCATGCATTCATCCACGCATGCATTCATCCACGCATGCATTCATCCACGCATGCATTCATCCACGCATGCATTCATCCACGCATGCATTCATCCACGCAAGCATTCATCCACGCAAGCATTCATCCACGCATGCATTCATCCACGCATGCATTCATCCACGCATGCATTCATCCACGCATGCATTCATCCACGCATGCATTCATCCACGCATGCATTCATCCACGCATGCATTCATCCACGCATGCATTCATCCACGCATGCATTCATCCACGCATGCATTCATCCACGCATGCATTCATCCACGCATGCATTCATCCACGCATGCATTCATCCACGCATGCATTCATCCACGCATGCATTCATCCACGCATGCATTCATCCACGCATGCATTCATCCACGCATGCATTCATCCACGCAAGCATTCATCCACGCATGCATTCATCCACGCATGCATTCATCCACGCATGCATTCATCCACGCATGCATTCATCCACGCATGCATTCATCCACGCATGCATTCATCCACGCATGCATTCATCCACCAGCCATCCACGGCATTCATCCACGCATGCATTCATCCACGCATGCATTCATCCACGCATGCATTCATCCACGCATGCATTCATCCACGCATGCATTCATCCACGCATGCATTCATCCACGCATGCATTCATCCACGCATGCATTCAACCACGCATGCATTCATCCACGCATGCATTCATCCACGCATGCATTCATCCACGCATGCATTCATCCACGCATGCATTCATCCACGCATGCACCCACGCATGCATTCATCCACGCATGCATTCATCCACGCATGCATTCATCCACGCATGCATTCCATCCACGCATGCCATTGCATATCCACGCATGCATTCATCCACGCATGCATTCATCCACGCATGCATTCATCCACGCATGCATTCATCCACGCATGCATTCATCCACGCATGCATTCATCCACGCATTCGTACAACCATGACTTCATGCTTCCCTAGACCCCCCTCCACTGCGGGCAGAGGCAGACTCGCCTCAAAGCATTGATAAGCTCTCCTCTTCCCCTCTTCCCCCCAACCCACTCTGCCCCTCTCCCCTCAAACCTCCTCCCCCCCCCTTGCAGTTGCTCTGGCTTCTCTCAGAAGTCCCCCCTGGACTTCCCTCCACTGCTGGCAATGGCAGAGGGGTTCTTTGAAGCCCGACGGGTGCCGTGCTTTCAGATTGCAATTACTCCCCCCTCCGCTCCTGTCCTCACTTCTCCCCCCCTTCCGCCCTGCTGACAAACAGTTGTTCTGGGTGCTCTCTGAATGCTGCCCTGGACTGCCCTCCCATAATCGGAGAGGCAGAGGAATTCTTTGAATCGAGAAGGGTGACGGGCTTCAAGCTGCACACGGCCGATGTGGTGAGAGGTAGAGGTAGAGGGGGGGATGACTTTTGGGTCTTTTGAGTCTTTTGGGTCTTTTGAGTCGACTCAAAAGAGGTAGAGGGGGGGATTTAAGCTATGTGCATCATCACCTTGACATGTATGCATGCAAACACGCCATGGCAGAACGACATGCATACTTACCCTTGCAATCCCCTTCATTGAAGCCAGGGTTTCGGGTTTTAAGGTTTAGGGCACATCATTACCCCCTTCTGCCCTTACCAACTTTCTTCCAACACCTCCTGCTCCCTGCTGGTAGAGTAGCGGTGTTGGACCAAGTTGGCAGCAAGGGGCACAACATTGGGGCTGTCTTTGAGGCGCCTCAAAAGTTGGCAGCAAGGGGCACAACATTGGGGCTGTCCTAACCTCAAAACTAGACTTCTATTGCACGCGTTTCGAGGCGCCTTGTAACCACAGCCGCCCTCACTGCTTCACCTAACTGGCTTCTCTTTCTCGTAACCCCCATACCAACCTTTCTCCACTACCTCATCGCAGCCCTTTGTCTTTCCCTCACCAAGCTAGCTAGCAAGGAGGGGCGCAGCACAGCCTTCTAAATACCCCTGACCCTTCCTCTCTCGTTCCTCTCTGCCCTTGATCCCTTATCCCTGTTCCCTCATGTCTCCCTCCAGGTGGACTGGTGGTGCCGCGCCAAGCTGGCAGTGAGAGGGACAGCCGCTGACAGCAGAGCCCTTCCTAATTCACCTACCTACCTCCTCGTTCTCTTTCCCGCGCGCCTCCCCCTTCTCTCTCAACACCACTCCCAGGTGGAGTGGCGGTGCCGCGCCAAGCTGGCAGTGAGGGGGACAGCGGAGAGGCCGCTGGTGGGGCTGTATGCAGCAAGGTCGCATGATGTGGTGGACATACCCATGTGTCGAGGTGAGTAGTGGCGACACACCAGTGTGCAGTGGTGATATATGAATGTAACCATGTCTAGAGGAGGGTGTTTTCTTTGCAATCACAGCAGAGCGGCCCCTGGTGGGGCTGTATGCAGCACATTTGCATGATGTTGGTTGACGTACCCACATGTAGAGGTATGAAGTGGTGGTGATACACCCATGTGTAGAGGTGAGTAGGGGTGGTGACACACCTGTGGCATGTAACCAGGAAAGTGTGAGATGCAATCACAGTAGGAAAGCCACGGGTGGGGCTGTATGCAGCACAGTCGCATGATGTGGTTGACAGACCCACATGTAGAGGTGTGAGACTCGGGATGGGCTGTTTGAATGTGAGGGTATATACTGCAAGCACAGCAAAGAGACCGCTAAATTGCACCATGTGGTTGACATACCCACGTCACGTGGCACACCTGTGTAGACGGGAAAGTGCGAGATGAAACTTCTGTGTTCCCACTGGTCCATGCCCCGTAGGGGAACATCAGAGAGACCACTGGTGGGGTTGTATGCAGCTAGATTGCGCGATGAGGTTGACATACCCATGTGTAGTAGAGGTATGAAGTGGTGCTGATACAGTCATGTGCAGAGGCGAGTAGTGGTGGTCATACACCCTTGTGCGGGGATGAGTAAGGGTGGTGACACAGTTGAATGTAATCCGGAGAGCGTGCGATGCAATCTTAGCAGAACGGCCGCTAGTGGGGCTGTATGCAGTGCATACAGCCCCCTGTGCAGTGCAGGGCTGCAATGATCACATGATGTGGTTGACTTGACATCCCCTTGTCTAGAGGTGAGTAGCGCTGCATACCGGAGTGTTGTTGGTGATGTATCTGATCTGGGTATAGTGGTGATGCACTGGTGTGTGTTGGTTGGTGCTATATCCATATCTAGAGGTGGGTGGGGGCTTAGTTGCTACAAACGTGTTTAGCGTTTGAACGCCAGCGTTTGAAACGCTGGCGTTTGAACGCTAAACGCTCATCAGTGTGTCTGTGAACGCTAGGCAAACGCTTGCCCCGGCAGGGGTAAAATTTTGCCCGGGCAGGGGTGAGAAATTTCCTGTGGGGGAGGGGGGAAACATGGGGGCTCTGCTAGCAAGCAATTTGGCTCCAAATAAGCCGTGGAAAAATTGAAGTATGCATCCTCATATATATGGGACTACCAGCCATCTTCTGCCCGCAAAAGCGACGGCCTCCTTGACTAGAACGCGGAAGTAATTATAAACGCTGTAGCAGCGTCCTCATTGCTAAGAGGGGTCGACATGGGCCCTCGCCCTCAACTTAATGTTATCTTGTGGCTAAGGTATGGCAGCTAAGGTGGAAAAGTGGCTACGGCTATGGCGCGCAGCAGTTAGGGTAAGCGGTTTTGATGGGGGAGGGGATTGCGAACTTGCGTGGATCTATGAGATGTGAGGAGGAGGGGTTGGATGTTTTAGTTGACGATGTTTGGAGTGTGGTTGAGGGGGGGGGGGTTTGTTGGGAGGTGAATTTTGACGACTTGGTTTGGAGTTGGGACTTGGCAAATGTCGCGCTGAATTCGCCAAGTCTCAATTTCGCGGTAAAAAATTTCACGTTTTTTTCGGAGGGGCAGCCCGGATTTTTTCCCAGCGAGCGTTTGCATTTTTGGGTCCGTTTAGCGTTTGAACGCTAAACGCGCGTCTGCCAGAGCGTTTGTAGCAACTAAGGGTGGGGGTGTATGATGCTATCACAGCAGAGAGGCTGCTGGTGGGGCCGCAGGTTGCGCGATGTAGTTGACACACCCATGGGCAGAGGTGGGTACGGGTGGTGATACACCCATGTGCTGAGGTGAGGGGCACATCAGAGCCACGCACTGGCAAGGGAAACAAGCTGGCAAGTGAGGGGCACAGCAGGGAGGCCGCTGGTGGGGCTGTATGAGGGCGGATGGATCGCATGATGTGGATGTGGTTGACAACCTCCCTTGCGCTCCCCACTCGCTCCTTTTCATCACTGTTCCTTGCTCGGATGGTGCCTTTCTTACATTACATTCCCTTTTCTATCCTTTCACTCCTCCACCACCACCCCGACCTCATTGCTGCTGCTTGCGTCTCACTTCCCTCCCTCTCCTCCCCAATTCCATGTGCCCATGTGCATGTTAATCTCTTTTCCCTGTTTTGCCCATTGGTATGGCAGCCCACCATCCCCGCCTAAATGCTGCAGCAGCTGTCGTGCGGTCAGGTGAGTTGAGGGCTGTTGTAGGTGAGTTGAGGGCTGTTGTAGGCCACTGCACTTCCATTCTGTCTGATGTCGACCAGCACGCTCATTCTCCCAGTTGCCTCGTCAGTGTTGGTTAGCTATGTTCAAGGGCATAGGGCATGCGCTCTCTCCTCTCCGTAGAGCCTTTTGGTGAACCGTGTAACTGTGTTATGATGTGCCACTCGATCCCCTCTCACCACCCCTCCTGCACCCCTCTTCTACCCCACACATTTATCATGGCCATCGAGCCATTGAGCCATTGAGCCTTACGATAGTTTGCATTGTGTGACGTATGGTCTTCTTCTTCTTCTCCTCCTCCTTTCTGCTTTCGCCACTATCACCCAACCATGCAGTGACAAACAACCCTGCTGTGTGAATAGGAACACTACCCTTGCTTACTGCAGCAGTCAAGGGCATGGGCGTCCTATACATCGCCCCGAGACCCTACTCTTCCACTTTGTCCCCCATACCCGCTCCAGTGATCAACGACATGGGCATCGAGCCTTATGACGAAGAAACCGGCCAGGGCATGCTGCGATACATTCAGGTGAACTCCGATACATTCAGGTGAACTCCGATACATTCAGGTGAACTCCGATACATTCAGGTGAACTATTCCTGCGGTGGTCTCCAGTTGCCGTTCAGGCGGCATCTAATTTCCGTCCTTGTGTCATTCAAATGACTTCCAGGTGTTTTCACGTGATCTTAACATGTGGCTGTGAGGTGGTGCTCGCCTTTTATTAAGCCAACTCCTCCTCCTCCTTGGCGTGAGGGAGGCTCTATTGGCGTTCTCGTCTGATTCTTGCCAACAGAGCCCCCCTCACGCGATAATCGTTTAGTTGGAAGGATCGCTTTCGGCTGCAGCTGATGCCCTTTCCCCTTGCAGCTGATGCCCTTTCCCCTTGCAGCTGATGCCCTTTCCCCTTGGCGTGCTTCTCTTCTCTGTTGATGTCGGTCGGCAATGCATGCTTCGTTCGTTAGTTCGTTCGTTCGTTCGTTCGCTCATTCATTCATTTTTTCGTTCGTCCGTTTTTTTTTAATTTTTTTTTTTTTTGTTTATTGTTTGTTTGTTTGTTTGTTTGTTTATTGTTTGTTTGTTCGTTCGTTCATGCATTTATGAGCTGTTTTCGTGTTCATGTTCTCTCCGCATTTCTTCCACCCGCTCCCTTCAACCCAGCCTCACCTCCCTTCTCAACCCGATAGCCTCAAGCTTCATCGTTCCACCTTCATCCTCACCTGTTTACTCCCCTCAGCTTGCTCTCACCACCAACGACACATCCATTCCTGCTGCCGAGAGATACCTCAAAGGTAACCCCGTATTCTTGCTTCTTTCTTTTTCTTTTGCTTTTGCGTTGCTTCTTCTGACGCCTGCTTTTGCCTTTGCTTCCCCCATATTTAGGCAATGCTTTGCTATTGCTTTTGCCAATCATCCCTTCACTATTGTCATCAACACCCCAAACCTCATTTTCCACCATCCCTTCCATACTACTACTGCCCCGCGACGCGAATATCCTCATCCAATTACAGGCAAGGTTCAGCTGACTCTGGTGTGGAACAGCAGCAATGAGAAGTCGCCACTTGCCGAGAAGTTGCCCGCACTATGTCGGGTAAGGGAGGGAGAGGGTTCTGATCCGAGGGTTTTGCTGAAAGGCTGCCCACAGTGTGTCGGATAGAGGAGAGGTTGAGGTGCGGCACGCCAGCAACGAGCAGTATCACCTCCATGAGAAAATACCAGCCCTGTGCCGGGTGAGGGAGAGGCTGAGAGGTTCATACATGGGTGGGTGGTGGTTGAGTGAGTGGTTGGGTGAAAGGGTGGGTGGGTGAGTGGGAGGGTGAGTGGGTGGGTGAGAGGGCGAGATGCCGTGTGTTGTGTTGTGCCGATGGTGGTGTGGAAGCGCCAGCAATGAAGAGTCGTCCGTTGCCGAGAAGATACCAGCCATGTGCCGGGTGACGGAGAGGCTGAGAGGGCTTATGCCCATGGATGGGTGTGGGAGTGAGGGTGAGTTGCCGTGTGGCTGTGCTCAGCTGACCGTGGTGTGGCATGCACGCAAGGACCAAGAAGTTGCCATTTGCTCAAAAGTTGTCCGCACTGTGCCGGGGGAGCAAGAGGCTGCGAGAGTGTGGGGGGGGAGGGGGAGCCAGAGGCTGCTTGCCAGGAGTTGTTGGGGGGGGGGGGGGGTTGGGAGGGAGGAGGAAGGGGGGGGGTGGGGGAGGAAAGAGTGCTGCACTCCATCAGGGTCAAGGCACCAAGCTGGCCTCTACTCCTCCCAACAGTTCTCAACCGCTTTCCCCCCATTCTTTCTCACATTTTTGTCACCGGAGCTGTGGCACAGGGGTGTGGCAAAGAACAGAGTGCTGCGCTCTGTCTAGGTCAAATCAGCAAAAGTTGTGGCAACAGGGAGATATGGAGCCGGCCTCAACTCCTTCCAATCGTTATCAACCAATTTCGACCGCTGTTTCCTCCGTTTTCTTCCTCTCTTTCTGCCACCAGGAGCTGTGGCGGAGGGGAGGTGCAGAGGACAAACTGCGTCACTCCATCTGGATCAAGGCACCAAGCCAGCCTCTACTCCTCCCAACCGTTCTCAACCAGTTTCCATCCCTCTTCCCCCCCCCTCCCAACCCCAATTCGTCCTCACTCTCTGCCATCAGGAGCTGTGGCGGAGGGGGGGTGCAGAGGACAGAGTGCTTCACTCCGTGTGGGTCAACTTCCAGACGTCGTCATCCAATGTGGGTCCAGAGACTAGAAGGCGTTAGGGTTGTAACGGCCGAGAGGTCTATGTGGCTTGGGGCAGGTCGGGCCAGAGTGTTTTACTGCGTCTGGGGCAACTTCCAGTCCAGACCTCCTCGCCTACTGTGAGACTTGGGTACAGGGCTTAACAGTCAAAGGTTTAAAAGTGTGAAGGCCGAGTCCAGGAGGCACCGGGCAGGTCAGTCAGTCAGAAGCCAGAGAGCGTTTCACTCCGCCTGGGCCAGAGAAACCTCCTCGCCTACTGTGAGTTTGATTAGAGGGGCTTGTTGCACAGAGGTTTCAAGTCAAGGGATCTCAGCGGCTCAGCTCCTAGGTTTGTTGTGTGTAGGGGCAGTTTGCATGCACAGTTTAGACTTTATTATTGTGTTTTTCTGTCATTTTCTGAATCCGCTCCATGTGGGTCAACTTCCAGACATCATCATCTAATGTAAGTCTTAGGTGCTTATGAGTAGAAAGGTTTAGGGGGGCGGAGGGGATAAATGTTAGGTTCTAGAGGACATGCGGCAGTGTAGAGGACAAGGTCCCACACCTACACTCCATATGGGTCGATTTCCAGACGCCACCATCCAATGTGAGGCTGAGTTTGTGAGTATGAAATCTTGAAGGGGACTCAGGGGATGGAGAGGTGAGGGTCCAGGGAGCTTGGGGGACAGGACAGTGCAGGGACAAAGTCCTAGTCTCCGCGTATGGCTCAACTTTTAGACTTCAACATCCAACGTGGTGGGTCCAGGGTTTTTCAGGGCCTAAGACTCCAGGGGTTAGGGGTGTCAAGGCCAAGGTCTGCGTGGCTTGGGGCGGGTCAAAGGCCAGAGAGTTTGATTTGAGGGGCTTGTTGTACGGAGGTTCTTCAAAGTCAAGGGATCTCATAGGGGGAGTTTGCTCAGCTAGTCTTTCTGTTGTGCTTTTGAGGCGCCTCAAAAGCACTGTTCAGCTAGTCTTTCTATTGTGTGGTTTTCTCATTCTCTGGATTTGCTCCACCCTAAGCCATTTTACTGTAAGGTATGGCTGCACGCATTTCTTCCTTGTTTTTGTGTTAATCAATATAACATTCAAACATGCTACATGGTGCCAAACTATCTCCTCGTTACTCTCTCCATGTTCCCTCCAGGTGATATTCGGTGGCAGGTGGCGGCACATGATTGGTCCAACGGACATGTGGGAGCGGCTGGGAGGCGTTGATGTTTGCTTCACCCCTGGAAGCTTTGGCCAGGCGAACTATAAGGTGGGCTGGAGTGGAAGGTGGGGCTGGAGTGGAAGAGGAAGGAGAGTAATACAACTTGTTAAGCACATGGGTATGGGTAGGCAACCCACATACGCCATACAAGGAGGACACTGGTAGAACACATAGCACATAAACCCGATTTATGAAGCTCGGTATAACGCATGAAATATACCGCCGTGGAGCTAAGTACCGTGTACCATGAAACGAACTGCAGGGTGCTCAATTTACTGTTCAGTCAGCATGAGATGCTCCGACCGACTGGGGTCGAAGCTGCCGGGTTCTCATTCCTCCCTTTGTTTCCACCCCACCCCCCTTCTCTGTCTATTCCTCCCGGCCTTTGACACTAAGCTGCTGCAACATCTAATCCACCTCACCCTACCTTCTCCCTTTCTTCCTTCTGTCTCGCTGACCCCAAGCCATTGATGCCATGCTGAAGCATCGACGCTCCCTCCTTCCCTGCAGGCAGCCGCTCTTCAGTGGTGGTGGTCTCCCCTCCCTTACCCTCCGCCCCCTCCAGGCACTCCCTCTTTCCATCCCCTCCTCCAGGCCTTTGACGCCATGCTGACGCATCTGCGCTCCCTAACTCCTTGCCGCTCTTCAGTGATTAAGCCCTATGCTGGTGCAGGGGCTAGCCATGGGGCTGTCTCTTACTGCCATCACCCTCTCTCATTGGCCCATTCCCCACTTCCCCCCAACAGGCCTTTGACGCCATGCTGAAGCATCTGCACTCGTTGATTCCTCGCCGCTCCTCTGTGGTTGAGCTCTATGCCGGTGCCGGGGCCATAGGGCTCTCGCTTGCTGCCACCACGCAGTGCAAGTAAGCGATGAGTTCAGAGTGGTTTTCTCCGTTTCCAATGTTTACTGGCATATTCTCCTTTCTCTAGCCTGTGAAAAAAAAATGTATATATATATATATATATACATATATAAATGTTCCCTGCACATTAAAGCACCGGCAGCTAGGCTCAGTGTAAATAAATAGTATGTTTAGAAAATGGGTTTCACACAGGTATAGGGGCCCGACTTTCAGTTTTGCTATTTCCCCCCTTGCTGGCGAGAATTTGCGGCGCGATGCATTTTCGACATCGTGCGATTTAGTAAAAATCGCATATTGCATCGAACTTTTTTACGCGGGATTAAAAGCGATTTAAAGAGTCGCGCGATAAACGAAAAATCGCATTGCGCGATTTTCCCCCCAAAAAAAATCCCATGCGTTGCTTGCTATGACACTAACAAAGCAGCCGAGGCGCCTTCACCCGCTCATTGGAGCCCACCCCCGCTCCCGCTCATCTCATCTCGTCCTAGCCCCTGTATACCAATGTCTCCCTCATTCGCTCCTATCCAGTGTCCGCTGCTACGAGATCAATGGCGCAGCCCAGGCGCCCTTCGCTCGCTCACTGGAAGCCACAACTCGTCTCCCCCCTCCGTCCTTTCCTGTGCCGCCACCCCCGCTTGCCTTCACCTCTTGCTGCCCAGTGTGCGCTGCTATGAGATCAACGAAGCTGCACGTGCGCCCTTCACGCGCTCACTGGAGCGCCTGCAGCCTCTGCTGCGCCATCCTGCTGCAGTTGCTTGGCACCAGGCGGATGCTGAGGCACCCGTTGAGGTGAGTACTGCCTTGCGTTTGAAGCAAGAGGCCATGAAGCAATAGGCCATGGAGCATGAAGCACCCGAGTGGCCTTGCAGCCCCTGCTGCGCCCATCACACTGCCGTATCGTGGCACCAGGTGGATGCAGACGCGCCCGCCCATTGAGGCGAGTACTGTCTTTGAGACAAGTGCCTTGCGATGTAGCTTGGCTCCCTCTTTCCTTCCTCAATTGGTCCTTTGTATTAGTTAGGTAGCATGAGGTAGACGCCCCTTCATTCCCTTCCCTCCCTTCCCTCCCTTCCCTCCCTTCCCTCCCACCTTCCAGTCCCACCTGGACATCCTGCTTGATGCGGACGTGGTGCTGGTGGACCCCCCTCGCAGGGGCCTGCACGAGCCAGTGATGGCGGCGCTGCTGCACGCTGCCCGATATGCCGGCAGGTAGAGCATGTGTGTCGGAGCCTGTGTGCCTGAATGAGTGTGTGTGTGTGTGCGTGCGTGCGTGCGTGCTTGCGAGTGTGAGTTTTTGGGAGGAATTATTGTTGTGTGTGAGTCTCTGTCAGTGGATACGTGGATCTCACACCACCACGTCTTCATCCCCTGCCTGTTCCCCTTGCCACCTGGGTGCTGCGTCTCTCAGGCTGTCCCAGCAGCACTCGGACAGCCAAGACAGCAGCATCGCAAGGAGTGAGAGGAGAAGGGATGGCAGCAGTGGCAGCAGTGGGGGGCGAGCAGCTAATGGCTTGACTTTGGTGTACATCAGCTGCGGATGGGATGCATTCCAAAGGGTGAGCGGGCATGGAAGCAAGGTTGTGAGCGGGCATGGTAAAAGAAATGAGGGCACCATCTGATTGGCTGATGGCTTGACTCTGGTGTACATCAGCTGCGGATGGGATGCGCTTCAGAGGGTGAGTGTGTGGGTGGGGGTGCATCAGGGGAGGGGCATTGGGGGTGCGTCGGTGGGTGGGAGCGGGTCGAGAGGGTACGGAACAAGAGGCAAGTCTCATTATCCAACTGACTCTGGTGCACGTCAGCTGCGGATGGGATGAGGTTGAGAGGGTGAGTGCGCCACAACCTACAGGGAGGGGGAGAGGGCATGGCGGGGAGTGTGGGTAGGAGAAGAGGGCATGTAGCGGAGTGTGGGGGATGGGGAAGTTGGAGGAGGGGAAGTAGGAGCGGGCGAGAGAATGGAGGAGCCTATCATTCCGAGATTCTCAATCTCTCTCCCTTCCACCTCTGCCATGCTTCTGCCTGCAACGGCTTCCTTCAATCCCCTTCAACCCCTCAACCAGTGTGCATCCCACCTGCTGACTCAAGACGGCCTCTTCCACCTCCTCCACCCATCTATTTGCCTCCATTCCAGCCCTCAATTCACTTCCGTGCTGCTAAATTTATCAGTTCACGTCCGTGTTGTTAAATTCATCAATTCGCGTCTGTGCTGCTAAATTTATCAATTCCCCTCTCCCCACTCCTTCTCCCACCCACCCCTCAGGACTGCGACAAGCTGACTCAAGACGGCCTCTTCCACCTCTCCCACGCCTCTGCCTTCAACTTTTTTCCCGGCACCAACAGGTAGGCTTCCGCTGTTGCATGGTTACACCAACAGGTAGGCTTCCACTGTTACATGGTTACACCAACAGGTAGGCCTCCACTGTTACATGGTTACACCAACAGGTAGGCCTCCACTGTTACATGGTTACACCATCAGGTAGACCTCCACTGTTACATGGTTACACCATCAGGTAGACCTCCACTGTTATGCAGTTACACCACCAGGTAGGCCTCCACTCCACGGTTACATGGTTACACCATCAGGTAGGCCTCCACGGTCTCGCAGTTGTTGAAGGAATTCCACTTAGCTCAGTAAGCCAAGAAATTGTAGGAGTAGGAAGTAAAATATTGTATACCAACAGGTAGGCCTCCACTGTTACTTGGCTACATTGTACATTTGTGTTAAACTGCAACGGCAATCGGTACACCTCCACTGTTACATGTCTACACCACTAGGCACACCTCATAGTTATGTGGTTACACTAGCAGGAGCACCTTGCATGCATATGCAATTGCATGGTTACAAGCAACGGTGCAATTGGATGGTTGCACCAAGCACAAAGAGACGGATGGAGGCAATACGAACAAAGAAATGTGTTGTCCTTCTGACTTTGACTCATTCACTAACCCCCATTGCTTGTCATGTGGAGTCTTTTGCAGCATCGAGACTCTTGCTATCTTTACAACGGCAAAGCCGCATGCGTAGAAGGGTGTGCTGAACGGACGAAGCTGGGCACATTGATCTACTGTACCGTAACGCTACCAATGAGATTCCTTTTGCTTTGTGTGCGGGCATGTAGTGTTTGTCAACATATATTTATGTATTGTTATAGGCTAGATACGTGCATGCTCATAGAGAGTACAGCACCATGACACAAAACCACCCTGTATGCCCCATTCTAGTCATTCAATTTCTCTGAGATGGTATCACGCTAGGTTAGGTCCCCCACCTCTGCTTCCGCCCTAGCCTAGCCCTAGCCCTAGCCTGCGCCCTAGCCCACGCCCTAGCTCGCACCCCTGCCCGCGCCCTAGCCTCCTCCCCTTTGAGCGTGCCGCGCGGTCCCTGGCCCACCGCTGGCCCCCACGAGCGCGCCGTCCAGTCCCTAGCCTGCCGCCGGCCCCGCCAGCCCTCGTCGCGGCCCCTGCACTCGCTGGCCCCGCGCCCGCTTGCCCTGCGTCCGCGCCGGCCCTGTCCGCGCCGACCCCTCGTCCGCGCCCGCTGGCCCCACTTCGCGCCGGCCCCCGTCCGCACCGGCCCCTGTCCGCGCCGGCCCCCGTCCGCGCCGGCCCCAGCCGCTGCCGGCCCAAGCCCTGCCGGCCCCAGCTCGAGGCGGCCCTAGCTCCCGCCGAGCCGCGCCGCCGCGTCCCCGTCCCACCGAGCCACCAGCCGCCCGGCCGCCGTGGCGCCGCGCCGACGGGCCGCTGAGTCGCCGCGTAGTCGCGCCGCCGTGCTGCCTAGCCGCCGAGCTGCCCCGCCGAGTCGCCGCGCCTCCGTGCCGCCGTACCGCGGTGCCGCCGAGCCGCCGTGCCGCTGGGCCGCCCTGACCTGCCGGCCTTGGCTTCCCCTCTGCGCCGGCGCTTCCGCCGGTCGTCTCCACCACTGCTCTCCACCGCACTAGACTCCTCCTCTAGCGGTTTTCAGCTGCTGCAGCCATGATGATGGCGGACTCTGTGCTCCGCCTGGACGCGGAGGGTCGGGCGATCGCCTTTGAGGCGTGGCTCGCTGACCTCCGCCGCTCGCTGCGAGGTCAGCGCTCACGCTGCTTGCCGCTCTCGCACTTGCTGACCCCTCCTCAGGCCCGGTAGTTGGACGCAGCTCCACCATACTTCCCTGTCCTGCGCTTCCCTCGGCACCCTTACAGGCTTGCACATCCCCTCGTTCTCCATGAACCTAGTTGGTGTCGGCTGTCTTCAGGATCTCGGCGTCACCACTACGTTCCCTGGATACGAGCGGTTCGCACTCTATACCGAGGCCCCCACTGGTGCCCCTCTCACCACGTTCCCCCGGGACCTGGTGTCTAGCCTGATTATGCTTGACACCAGGTCCACCCCGGTGGGAGCGTCCCCACAGGTGGCCGCACCCTCCCAGGTCGCTGCAGCTTGCTCGTGCCAGTCGCTCACTCACCCGGCACGCCGCGTCGCACCTCCGCCTAGGTCACCCCGCGTCTGCGTCACATGTCCTAGCACGGTCTTGTCTTACGTCTCCCTGCGTCGCTCCTTGCCCTCCCACCCTCCCCCGCACCACCGTGCACGCACTTCGTTGAGAGTTGGCTGCGCTGTGCTCCTCACTCCTCGCTCCCCCCTACCACTGGGCCACTCCAGACCCTGCACCGAGACGTCCCCATCCCTGGGCCGTGTCAAGAGCCTACTTCCTAGACCCTCAGGTCCCAGGGTCACCTCAGCGTAGGTGCGAGGGGTCGGTATGTCAAGAGCATCTGGGTCAGCCTCAGGGACTAGCAGCATGGAGCAGAGATGAGGAGCGGCCTCAGACAGGAAACCTAGCTCGTACTGCCTGTCCGTCACTGTGAAGGGCAGGTGCACCTTTAACGGACAGAGGATGGGCAGGGTTAGAGACATGAGTGGTGGCGTAGTCAAGGCGGCGGGTAGAGGCAAAGTGAGCGACGGTAGCGACAAGAGCGGTGAGACAAGAGACAGGATCAGACGGTCAGTAATGAGAGAGGCGAGAATGCGGGGAACAAGAGGGCTAGTAGCAAGGAGGAAATCAGAGAGAGGAGGTGGAGAGACGACAAGCGACGACAGAGGAGGCAACGGGAGAAAACGAGCACAAGAAGCATGAGAGTGGAGCAACATAGGATGAGAGCGCTGAACAGGAGAGACAAGAGGAGCACGCGAGGCCCGGTGAGACCACCGGCGGGAGTGGGGGTTAGGGTCAGGAGACAAAGGAGGAGACACAGGAGGAGAACGAGGGGGAAAACGAGCCAGGGACGAGTATGGCAAAGGAAATACAGGGCCGTAGACAAGCGGGGGAGGCGGCGGTGGGAGAGGCACAGGCGGGTGGTCGGGGGAGGGAAGACCGAGGAGGCGAAGGGCGGACACCGGTGGCGATTACGGCTGCTGCTCCACGCCGACACCAGAACCTTCGGCTGCACCACGGCTACCCCCGGGACGCTCCATGACAGCACCCCCAGAAAGAGAACCCTCTCCAGCACCGGTGCCATCCCCAAGACCGTCAGGACAAGCCACGACAGTACCCCCAGGACTAGCACCCCCAGAACCAGCACCCCCGCGACCAGAACCCTCCTCAACGCCCACACCCCCGAGAGCTTGCGAACTTCTATTGTCACAGGATCAAATGAGGTTTGCTCAATGTTTACAATTAATCAGTACAAGGTGCTTATATACTTCCATAGTATATCAGGTAACCAGGTTTATCCTATCCAATGGGAAGAGACCCTTCTAAAAATAGAATCACCATGCGTATAGCCACGCGAGGCTGTTGGCTTTAAGGGATTACGGCAGGATTACGCTAGATATAGCACGCCAGTACATCCCGAGCCTTGTCGGTGATATAATCATAATATCAGGATGAACCAAAGGATAATGGATTATAAGGTATGGAAAACCAAAGGAGATGAGATCAAGACAAAATGAATCAGGATAAAAAGAGGAATGAAATGGAAAGGAAATATGGAAAGGGGAAATTGGTGTAACGGTGTCGTACTCTCACACCTGCGGCGGCGGCGGTAGCGGAAACTGATGCGGCTGTTGCGGCGATGATGGCAGCAACGGCGGCTGCTGTTGCGGCGATGATGGCAGCGACGGCGGCTGCTGCTGCGGCGGCGGAGGAGGAGACACTGGGGCAGAGACAAGCAGCGAAACCGGAGCCGCAATGCCCCCAGAGTCAGCTGACTCCTCCACCGGGACAACCGACAGAAGGGGAGTGACATGAGACACACCAGACGGGGCAGGACAGGGAGGAAAAGGTGACCTCGGGACTCGAGGTGAGCTCACTCCTCCTCCTGGCGTAGCAAGGAAGCCTAGACTACACACAGGAGACACACCTACTGTGAGAGTACGACCCTGTTACACCACTTGGCCTTTTCTTATTTCCTTCCCTTTTCATTTCTCTTTTATTCCATCTCATTTGGTTTCCTATTCTTCCTTTTCCATTAACCTTTGGTTTATCCTGCTAGTATAATTATATCACCGACTAGGCTTGGGATGTACTGGTGCGCTCTATCTAGCGTAATCCTGATGTAATCCCTTAAAGCCAATAGCCTCGCGTGGCTATACGCAGGGTGATTCTATCTTCTAGAAGGGTCTATTCCCCTAGGATAAGATAAACCTGGTTACCTGATGTACTCTGGAAGTATAAAAGTGCCTTGTACTGATTGATAGTGCAATCTTTCCTCGACACATTCGATCCTGTAACACTTGGTAATAAGAGCTTTTCTCACTCGGCCGCGCTCAACAAAGCAGCAGCAGCGGGAAAACCTGCCTCGAAAAACCGCCGGGGGCGACCCATTCGACGCCGATTCAGGTAAGCACCAGCTCCGTGATTTTCGAATTACCCCCTCCGTGCGTGTTTTGAACAAGATGGCAACCTTCGACAACACCGAGGTTACCCAGCAGCTCTTCGCGCGCATCGCAGCCCTTCAGGAGGAAATGCGAGCGGATCACGAAGCGTGGCGAAACGAGTTCGAGCGAGTAACTCGACTCGCCGGAGCACAGCACGAGACGACAACGGCGACGACGCAGCAGTCGCAGCAGTTTCTCGAGGCTCCGAAACCGCGCCCACCTGAGCCGTTCGATCCGAGCGATTGAAACTCCGACGCCCGCAGATGGATCGCCGGGATGGAGATCTACTTCGCAGCCGTCGGATGGAGCTCGCCAGTCTGGGGCGGTCAACGTGTACGACTCGCGGCGACACTGATGCAAGGGCCGGCACTCGAGTGGATTGGCGGCAACAGTACCTTCATCCACGGTGAAGCCATGTGGCAGCAGTTCCGCGCTGACCTGCTGAAACGCTTCGAGCCGATAAATTCCAGTTTCCTTGCCCGGGAAAAAAATCATCGACACCGACAGTTCGGGAGTGTAGCGCAATACACACAGCAGATGGAGGAATTTTATAACCGCATTCCCGACCTGACCAAAGGGGAAAAAGTACAATCGTACCTCGCCGGGCTGAAGACCGAAGTCAAACGACAAGTCGCAGCGTCAAACTACGCGAGCTACAGTGACGTCGTTTCGGCAGCGGAGCGCTTCGACATGGTCAACGCCGGAACACGACGGACGCACGTCGGCAGTACGCGACAGGGCGACCGCTCGGCTCACCCCACGTTCGCCGACTCGATGGAAGTCGACAGATTCGAGGGGCGGCCACGTCCGAAAAACACCAATTACACGTGTGATTTTTGCGGGGTGCCGGGTCATCGAATCTTCGACTGCAGCAAAATGAAAGCCGCACGCGCAGAGTATCGGGCACGCAACAGTGGCGGAATTCCTTCAGCCAATCAGAAGGCAAAAAACGGGAGTCGCCAGTGATTGCGGATCTAGCTGGCGAAAATAAAAAGATCCGAAAACGGCCGCGGGATTCCGGGAAAATCAACTTCGACGAAGCTGATTCGTCGCGAGAAGGAGGAAATGATGGGGGAAAATCTCCACCCCACGACCAGTCTTCGCCAGGGAAAATCGCCGAGGAAAAATACGACTCCGCGAAAAAAGACTCTGCCGAGACAGGGAAACTCCTTGAAGACCCAAGAAATTATAAGAATTCGTTAAAGTTATCTTATAAAGATGCTTTAATGAAAACTTATGATGTTTGAGGGGCTAGAGCCTTGGAGAAAATTCGGGAAGGACTCCAAAAGAAGCAGACAGCTGTGGAGATTATACCGGTACCGGACAACTTGGGGAAAAAGTTAAGGAGTGTGGAAAGAAGCCGA